GGAAGGAAGGAAGGAAGGAAGGAAGGGAGAGAGTTATGAAAGGAAGAAAGGAGGGAGGGAGGGAGGGTGGGAAGGAGGGAGGGAAAGAAGAAAGGGAGGAAAGGAAAGAAGGAGAAGAGAAAAAATAAAAAGAATGGAAATTCTGTTTAAATTAAGAACCATTGTGCCAACCTTATTTTGGGCACAGTTCTTTTAAGTATTCTTCGTTTTCAATACACTCTCTGTTAAAGAGTTCATTTAAATATTTATGGCTTTCTTCTTCTTGAGACTTCTTTCCTTTTCTACACTGTCGCAAGCCCTTTCTTCCACCTTTATCTTTCCAGACATACTTCTTGGTTAACCTTAGGCAACTCTAGCCTCTCCTCAATTGGACTCCCCACTTCACTGAGGAAAGAAACTTCAACGTATGCTTATTAGTTTTGTCTTTTCCCACAACTTTTCTGTCTAGATGTCCCCATGTGCATGAAGTTTACTGTAATGGATAGTAAACAATCCATTATAGAAGACAGAAACTTCTCCCTTGTGAAGAGCTCCCAGTACCAGATGCTTGTGAACAATACCAGATGCTTAGACTTCAAACATCAATGCATTTATTAACAACACTCTACATTTTATCCAAATACTCCAAACCACTATACTACCATTCTCGACAGTTTTTCATGTCTACTCTGTGGACTTATTCTTTACTACTTAAAAATTTTTTCACTTTTTCATTGCCAGAATTAACATGTGACATTATCTGTCTCAAAGTCTCTTCCAAATACTTTTTCCTCACTGGAAGGTTTTTATAGACTATGTTCAGTCTTCTCTCGGCTTTCATTTCAAACAAATTCTTTCTTCTGTTTTACTTTTATTCTTCTGCCCAAACTCTTTGTTCAGTATGTAATTCATGGACTAGTCACTTTCCCACACTAAACACCATCATTTGCAGTGATGTAGTCTGAAGGCATAAGTCATTTTCTTTGACTTTTCTTCTGCCAGGAACTCGGGGCTCATGCCTATAATCCTAGCTGCTCAGGGGGCTGTGATCTGAGGATCAAGGTCTAAAGCCAGCCCAATGAGGAAAGTCCATGAGATTCTTACCTCTAATTAAACACGAAAAGCTACAAATAGAGCTGTGGCTTAAGTAATAGAACACTAGCTTTGAGCAAAAAAAAAATCTCTAGGACAGTATGGAGGCCCTGAGTTCAACCCCCAGGACCAACACACACACATACACAAAAGTTTCCCTCATTAATAACCCAGTTCTCTGTTTTACATCAGTGTCTATAGATGAAGTTCTGATAGTCGATTCTTAGAAATACTTTCTCTCTTGATGTTTCTTTATACCAGTACTACAGTGTGTCATAATTATCCTCCTCTATAGTTATCCACTATTATTCCAGAGTAAGGATCAATCTTAGAAAATACAAAGTAAACTTCTATAACTTAGTTCCCAAATATTTAAATTTATTTGGGAGCACTGACTAGAATTTGACGTCTTAAAATATGGTAAGTATTATAACAATGGAAGTAATAAAGAAATTTACACTAAGACTGGAGACAGCTTTGGAATTATGTAACAAGAGCAATTTACAATAAGCACCAAATGCCTTTAATTAACCATCTGGAACACACAAATTACAAGAGATTCAAACTCACACTGTGGTATTGTTAGACTTATCCTAAACTTAGGCTTTCCAAGCAATTGATCCCAAGAACGTTATTTTGGAATGCAATATAGAAATCATCTTGAGGGCCACTTTAAGATAGATTCATTGAGAGATTGCATATTAATTACTTGATGTTCAACATCATTAGATATTTAAATTATACTTATATTTTTACTATTTCAATACTAAGTTGTAACATATGTTTTATTTTAGATTAAAGCAGATGTTTAGAGGGGGAAACTAAAAATAACTCATATAAGTTAAAGAATGAAATGCTTTGGTTATCTAAACTGGTGTAGAAACACAAATACGTATTTGATGAGCAGTTCTAACAGATTTTTAATCACTACCGGTATTCTCATAGCATGTGCCAAATATGCAAGGTGGCTTCATTCTTCTGCTTTGAATCATTTCCCAGTCTCCACTGGGTTTTGCTTAGTTCTACACTCCAGCATAGCTGCTACCATCTCACTTCATATTCTCTTTGGATATCCATTGTCTAGTCTGTGTTCAGGGACTGTGAACAAATTTAAATATCAGTCAAGGCAAAACACAATTAGGAAGAGAGATTTAAGACCTCCCAAATCACACATCCTTTATCTTCAAAGAAAATATTGTTTTATGATTATCTAATTTTGGTGTGTGTGTGTGTGTGTGTGCATGAGTGCATGTGTATGCTGGTCCTGGGGCTTGAACTCAGGGCCTAGGAGCTGTCCCTGAACTTCTTTTTGCTCAAGGCTACCACTGAGCCACAGCTCCACATCCAGCTTTTTCTGAGTAGTTTATTAGAGACAAGAGTCTTGGGCAGGACTTTCTTGGCCAAACTGTCTTTGAACCTCAATCCTCAGATCTCAGCTTCCTGAGTTGCTGGGATTACAGGTGTGAATAACCAATGTCTGGCATGGTCCCCTTTTTATTGCTATTTTTCTAGCTTTGTTTAATAATAATAGATAATCCTTTGTGCTTTGTAAAATACTTTCCCATATGGTACTGCATGTGAACCTTTCCTCAACTGTCATATATAGTGTTGATCACCTTTTTGTGTTTGCGTCTCTCAGAAGAGTCAACTGAGATATTGAAGAATTAAATGAGCTGCTGAGCACAGATAATTATATGTCTTTAGTTACCAGTTAGTACTCTGAAATTATATGATGAACATGAATATTTCTATCATAGTAGTAAAACTTTTTCCATTTAATCATATCTGTGTTTGGGGAAATATGTATAGGTGTTATAGAGAGGAAATGTAATCAGAAAGACAAACTTTGGATAAAATGAAAACTATTTTTTGAGAAGAAGCTTTGCCTTTTAGATAATTCTACCAACAATGCAAGAATTTTCTTTGGTGGCTTAGGATCTTACACTTATCTGTCACCTCTGCCATATCAGTGTAACTTACTTAAGTAGTAAAAAGTTAACCAGGATGGAGCTTCAGCTTATAGATCCTTGGAAAGATGTTTAAAAGGTGATTCATATTGTGTAGTACAGTATGTTATATACTATAGCATATTTAATATTTTATATAAGTAAAACAAATTGTGATATAAAACAGCCCTGAGAATTTTTAAGTACATGGGTGTAAAATCACCAAGAATTTTTTCTATTATTTATTTCTATTATTTATTATTATTATTTCTATTATTTATTTTCATACTTCTGCCTCTTCCTGGCATGGTTATACACTCTGCTTTCTTTCTGAACAGACGTCGATGAATGCCAGAATAGGGACACCTGCCAGCATGAGTGTAAAAATACCATTGGAAGCTATCAGTGTACCTGCCCACCTGGCTATCAACTCATGCTCAATGGAAAGACATGCCAAGGTAAGAAAAGCATGGGATGTTTTGCCTCCACTCAATGTATAAACAACCAAAAAGCTGTCAAAAGTTTTGGTGAATAACCAGTACTCTAATCGATTCCCCTCCTTTCACATTGGTCAGGCTTACATTTCAATATTTTGTAAACAGAAACAAAACAAGTCAGTAAGGAAAATAATTGTAATCCATCTTGGGTGTAGATTTACTTGAAGGAGCAAGAATGCCTAAGCCAGCTCCTATTATATATTTTTGAAACTTACAGCAATAGATCTCATTAATTTTTTTCACAATTCAGCTCACATTGGACAAGAGATAAGGACATTATTCACTAATTAGTGTGTGAGTGAATCATTATTTTATATTCTTATCTCTCAGACTTATTTTTATAGCAGTCAATAGATAGAGAACTCATTCTGTCTTTGAATCTACATATGATGCAGATTATTGAATGTTAGTTTTACAGAATATTATTTTTAGTGTCTTTTATTGTAAAAATATTGTACAGAGGGGTTACATGAGTAGGGTAATGAGTACATTTCCTGTCGAGCATGGGTACCTCCTCCTTTGTTTTTCCCCTACCATCCCTTCTCTCCCCACCTCCTCAACTCCTCCCTCCCCCCCCCGCCCGCCAAGTTGTAAAGTTTGTTTTTAACATAGTGTCTTGTACATCTCATTGTTACAATGGGTCAACCTGTATCCTTATTTCAGAATTTTGTTATTTCCCTTCCCCTCCCCAAATGAGAAAAATGTATATACAAGATACAGAGCACTGACATCAAATACAGTGAAAACAGAGGTTAAGCTTTACAGAATATAAAAGGTTTAGAATAGATGAATAAGGGAGAAAATGATGAAAAAGGTGACATTGATCAAGATGCATTATATTCATAAACTGAATGGATCAAGAAAATGTGGTATATATATATATATATATATATATATATATATATATATATATATATATATATATCCAATGGAATTCTATGCCTCCATCAGAAAGAATAACACCATCCCATTTGAAAGACTTGGAAAAAATTATATTAAGTGAAGTAAGCCAGGCCCAAAGAAACATAGGTCCCATGGTTTCCCTTATTTGCAATTACTAGTACATGTGTAGGACAAGCAGAAAAGGCCAAAAGCTATGTACACATTACCATATAAGATGATGTTAAGCAAAATGAACCCCAAGATAGGGACACAAATATCTTTTTTCTTTCTTGTTATTGTTTCTAAAGTATTTATAATGTACCATGTGATTTTTTTGTTGCTTTGTATGTTCCTCCCCCATGATATAACCCCTGTTTTCACTGTATTTGATGTCGGTGCCCTGCATCTTGTATATACACTGCTCTAATTTGGGGAGGGGAAGGGAAAAAACAAAATACTTAAATAAGCATATAGGTTGACCCATTGTAACAATGAGATGTACAAAACACTATGTTGAAAATGAACTTTACAACTTTGGTGGGGGGGGGTAAAGGTTGGAGTGAAGGGATGGTAGGGGGAAACAAAGGAGGAGGCAATAATGCTCAATAGGAAATGTACTCATTACCTTACTCATGGAACTGTAACCCCTCTGTACAGCACTTTTACAATAAAAATGTACCAAAAAATAGAAAGTGTTATATCATATTCTCACAGAGAATATTCTTCTGTTCCAAATTTTGCCAGTTGATTTTTTAATTGCCCTCATCCCTCATTTACCTCCAAACAACCCTCAGTTTTCATTTATGCTACAGAGTGGAAAACACTGTGAGAAAATCAGAAACAGCTGCCATCTGAAACACTTGTGATTTGAGTGGGTTGCATATTTTTGTGGTGTTTAAAAAGACATGAGAAAAAACAATTAATGTCTTTTACAGAACTCATTAAATTGGAGTTTCTCTTACAGCTAGAGAAAGTGTTTGAGGCAATTATGAGGAGCAAATGGCTTTTCTGTTCACATATGTTATCTGAAAGCTCCATGATTGAAATGTGAGAAAGGGGAATATAAAGTGAACTTAGCTTGAAAGGACAAACTCTCCTCAAACATGGAAGTCACCAGACTCATCTGAAAAGCAAAATAGAGAGAGGCATGAGAAATCAAGATATTTGTCAAAGCACAGAGAAGAAGCTAAAAGATCCTCATGCTAATTTTATACATAACTAATTTTATTCTGAAAATTTAGAAAGATTGTATAGATGAGGACACTCATTTTTCCATGTTTATTAAAAATAATTCATCATCTTTATCAAGAACCCAAATTAAGTGTACTTTCTATAAAGTAGATGTATTAAGTATTTTGTCCTAAATTATGTTCTAATATCCAGGAGCACTTGGTTAAAGCATTCTTATGTTCTAAAGCTTTTAATGTAAAAACTGTTCAGCACATGTTAGGGTATTTGCTTCTATCATACATATAAGTATCTATATAACATACTTATGTAAAAGCACAAATCATCACTGTCCACTAACAGTAAAGAAGAACCTGTCTTTATTATTTCCTGTCTTCCTTTGGAAGAGGGAAGTAGTTTTGTTTTATTTTAGTTTTTGTTTTCCTTGTTTTTTTGTCACTCTAGCACTTGAGCCACAGCTCCAGCCCTGCTTTGTGCTGAATAATTGAAGAAGGAAACTCAGGAATTTTTCTTTCAAGGACTGAGACCTCAATCCTCAAACCCTTGGCATCCTGAGTAGCTAGCTAGGATTCCGGGCATGAGTCACTAGTGTCCAATTTGTCTTCTTTTTCTCTTTTTTTTTCTTTTTTTTAAAGGATAGTGTGTAGAATGACTGAGTTGAGAAGAGTGAATGACTATTGAGTCCTTAATCCTGGGAAGAAGTAATAGACAAAAGTAAAGGGAGGGTTATTTTCCTGGAAGCTCACTACTTATAAGGAATTGACATAAAAGGCCTGTTTCTTATAGAAAGCAAACCTTATGCTCTAAGAAGAAGCACTTTATGTAATAGATTCACATTCAGCCAGTAAGAAGCTATGATTAATTTACCAGGTTTCCTTATCCATACAGATGTGTCTCCATGCCACCATTACCATGCTTCCCTAGAGACCTAGCCCCACACTTCCGCATGAATTCACTATAAAAGTTACAGATAAAGTGAAATGTTAGAAACGGATAGGGTGGAGAACATTTGCAATGAGGGGGGAAAAAAGATAAAGCTAATTGGATTGCTTCCACATTTTCCCAGAGGACTTTTCACTTCATTTCTAAGATAATCTCAGTTTGTTAAGGGGATAAAGCATTTCTGACATATAAAACCATATTAGAAATTGGTTCACAGTGATAATGGTCTTAACTGATAAAGATATTGTTTCCCACTAGATTTCATTCCTGTAGGGAAACTGGTAGCAAAACCGCAGTACATCATCATTGTCAACATACGTAACTAAAAACTACCTACCATATACCTTTCTAGCACACAATTTGTTTTACTTGTATAGACTGTTATTAAACTTAAAGGAAATAAGTACATTATGCGTTTCTTATAAAACAATGTGTTTGGAATTTAAAATATACTTTTTTATGGTATTGGGGTATTAACTTGCTAGGCAGGATCACTTCCATTGAGACTAACAGCCCAAAATCTACATTTTTAATACAAAAGTGCAGGCAGTAAATAATTGATATTTAGCATACACAATTAATGAAATGTCTCTTGGAATTCCTTCTTTCCATTTCTTTTCCTTTTTTTTTTTTTTTGCCTGTACTGAGAGTCAGACTCAGGGTCTGGGTACTTGTGTACTGTCACTTAGCCTTTTTAGCTCAAAGCTGGTATTCTACCACTTGATCCACAAGTACACTTCTAATTTTTTTTTTGGGGGGGGTGTCTGGTCATGGGGCCTGAACTCTGAGCCTGGGCGCTGTCCCTCAGCTCTTCAGCTCAAGGCTAGCACTCTACCACTTGAGCCACAGCGCCACTTCTGGCTTTTTTCTTTTTGCTTATGTGGTGCTGAGGAATTGAACCCAGGGCCTCATGCATACAAGGCAAGTGCTCTACCACTGAGCCACCTTCCCAGCCCCCACTTCTAATATTTTTGTGGCAAATTGGAATCTCATAGACTTGCCTGTTAGGGCTGGCTTTGAACCATGATCCTCCAATTTCAGTCTTCTGAGAGATAGAATTATCGCCATGAGCTACCGCACCTTGTTCATTTTTCTATTTTAATGGTAGGGCTCACCAAATCATTACACTAATTGTGGTTGAAAGGTCATTATATAGCTACAGAAGTGTAGCCATAGAAGTAACCTACAATATTTATATGTACCTATTGGTTAGCATTGATCCCCTGATAGAAAAACATTGGACTTTCAGGACCCATATATTAGGAAAACTGCTTTGGATTCAGATAGTTGTAAGTATTCTCTTCTGTGTAGCAGAATCGATTTATTGCTTAAGAAAGAGGAATGCTGTAGTTACCCACATACAACCAATTGACTTAAAATGTGTAAACGTTATGTTTCCCTCACACATTTTCATATTAGTCTTTAAAGTCTCTTATCGAAAGGTTAAAATACACACAACATATATGACTTCTCTTATTGTTTAATGTGCTTTGGAGTTTGTGTTTGAATTCCTCACTTCATAGGAGGTGACTACTATGTAATTTAAGTGTATAGTTATTGTTAATCCAATCATGTTAGAAAAAGTTTAAATGTCATCTTTTTCTGTCCAATTAGAAGTGTTAGTAGGTGTTCCCATGACAACCAAGTCACATAATAATGGAGAGGTGAGACCATAGCTTGCTACCATCAATCTGTATTTCTAATATTCTCTTTTTAAAATATCTCTTCAAATATTGCAGCCTTCCTTTGGTTCTGGAATTGCTGGCAACCTTTCTTTCATAAGGCAGATAAAAGCTGTAAAAAGAGAGAAAGGAAAGGAGATGTCCAGACCAACAGAAGTTCTCTGGCAGATTGATATTAGGAAGGAGAATGTGTAGAAAATAAGGATACAGAAATGGATTTCCTGAAATATTTGTCAAACCTCATAAGAGAAGGACTTCCTGTACACCAGAGAGGATGAAGATCCCAGTTTAAAAAGGATTGTTCTAAAAATATGGCCTTAAAGTTGGAATCCTAAAACTCTTTACACCAAGAGTTTTTAATCAAATATTAGAGATGCTCTTTCCAGAAAACTCTGTCAATCATTTTCTGACTCTGCCTCCCTCATTCTCCTCTTCCTTTTCCTCCTTCTCCTATCTCTACACATGTACATTCATATTCATACACAAAGATTTTCAGTGTACCTAATGCTCAAATATAGATCAAGTGTAAACTCATGGAGCAAAAACATTTATTTTCAGAAAGCTCCAAAAAAAAGTGTTCTTTAACTCTATGTTAATATGTCTTAATCGGGGCAGGTGGCTCAGTGGTAGAGTGCTTGCCTTGCATGCATGAGGCCCTGGGTTCAATTCCTTGGCATCACATAAGCAGAAAAGGCAGAAGTGATGCTGTAGCTTAAGTGGTAGAGCTCTAGCTTTGAGCTGAAGAGCTCAGAGACAGCATTCAGGCCCAGAGTTCAAGCTCACGACCGACCTCCCAAAAAAGTCTTAATTCTGTTGATTTAAATATGTTTCTATATGATAATAACTCTTCAGAAAATAACAGAATCAACCATTTTTTTGCATACTTCACCAACCATAGAGCAGCCATTCAGCTGTGGATGGACTATACAAACAAATCAGTAGACTCTGTTCCCTTTGATCAAGTTTGGATTCTGGTTCTTGAGTCATTCACTTGATCTCATCGTAGTCTTTGTTTTCTCTCTTTCCTCTACATCTCACTGACCTCTGAAGTCACTCCTGAATTCATCATGTGGCATCTTTAATTTCTACTATCCTACTTACACTCAACAATTTAAACTTACAGGATACCAGGCAATGATCACACACATTGAAAGAGATTCTTCACTTGAAAAATATTCACTGGGCTGGAAATATAGCTTATTGATAAGAGTACTTGCCTAGTATGCATGAAGCCCTGGGTTTGATTCCCCCTCAGTACCACATAAACAGTAAAAGCCAAAAGCCAAAAATGGTATTGTGGCTCAAGTGGTAGAGTGCTAGCCTTGAGCAAAAGAAGCTCAGGGACAGTATTCAGGACAGTGCCCTGAGATTAAGCCCCAAGACTAGCAATATATATATATATATATATATATATATATATATATTCACAAGTGTCTTTTAAACTTTTAGCTCCTTGGTAGCACAACAAAACTTCTCCATAAAATTGAATGCCCTCAATTTTTTCCAAATTTAAGAGTCACCAGAGAGCTCTCAACAGTTCTTCTTCTACTCTTGTGGTTCTCAGTTTTTGGTGTCTTTTCACATACATTAAAGAAATGCTTCCTTAAAGCAATCTGGAGAGTGAATGCAGAGATTCTGGGGTTCTTTTGTTGAAGCTTAAGTATGAGAAATAAGTTCATTCATGGACATTCAGTTACCAGCGCCTGCTTAAAGAGCCTTTCCTGACCTTCACTGCTGACACCCTTGTCTTGTTCTGGCCCTAGATATTGATGAATGTCTGGAGCAGAACATACGCTGCGGGCCAAATCGCATGTGCTTCAACATGAGAGGAAGCTACCAGTGCATCGACACGCCCTGTCCACCCAACTACCAACGGGATCCCATGACTGAGTATGTCTTGTCTTTTCCTCCCAGATATGTGCATCATCTCTCTCCTTGGTAAAATAAACCCTGGTTGCAGTCATGTATAACTCAGAGAAAGTCAGTACCTCAAGACAATGTGCATCTACCATGTACTCCTTCTTCAAGGAATGAGCAAGAAATGAGTTCCTTTAGCTAGCTTCTCCACACAGAATCACCATGTAACAACCTGGGCTCTAGCTCAGCAACAAGCATGTTACACAATAATAGCGCCCGCCTTTCTTTCAAATTTTCTGGTATAAATTTGTGCTTCCTTAGAATTCTGAATTCTTTGCTCCCATAGAGGCCTACAAGAAGTACTGATTCTATTGCTGGAATGATTCATGATGCCAGGAAGAAAGCAAGAGCATCTAGGATAAGTCAAGGGTCTGTTCATCTGCAATATCTGAGAAAAGTCTTTTCGAGGTTCTGAATAAAATATCTTATTTCCATCTCCTCTAACAAATGTTTTACCCTAACCAGATGCCACAGTAACAATGCTTGAAAACAAGGGGAAATGTTCATCCTTGTTTAGTCCTTGCCTGCAAAGCACAGGTGTTTCTGAAACAAAATAGAACTCATTGCAAGTTCCCACTTTGTTTTCTTCTTGGTAATGCTTATGAAGTCACTGTCACAAGTGTGGGTTGCCTAGAAAGCCCATTTGCTATTGCTCTCCTAGGAATCGGAAAAAGAAAGAGAAAATTTAAAACATAGACTATTATATGTCTAAAAAAAACCCTGTGACTGAAGAACCAGTCTTCATTAAATGCTCTTGTGTGTTTCTTTTTTCTTTCAAATGTTAGTACATTAAAGTGATCGTGACACAAAAGACAGTCAAAATAGAGATTTTATCTTTTATTATTTTTAGGAACATCAGCCAAATATAAATGTAGCTTATTTCAGAAGTTGACAGTGTTAGATTAGATATAATTTAAACTTAGTGTATATTTTTTTCTCTTTAAGAAGTGCTTGTTTCCAACGTATAGACAGATACTTCTGTTTCCCAAACTGCTTCATTTTAACTGATTCATTAGGGATGAAATGTAGCTCAAAGATAGAGCATGTGTTTAGCATGCACAAAGCCCTGGTTTAATCCCCAGGATCCTCAGCCAAAAAGAAAGAAATCAATGTATAGTATTCATGCTAGCTCACATGTTTCTGATTTAAATGGAGCAGAGAGATACTTGACTCTAGACTGTGTATTCTAAGAGCCATATGGCATCTGGTTTGAGTTAATAACATCAAACACACTGTCTTCTGCACCTAAGGCCTAAATGTTGACCTAAACGTTGTCATGGGTCATGACCACCAGCATCAGCCCTTGTCCTGCCTCCAAGATGGATAACTTTGTGCATTTTGCCTATGTATTTTCCTTAGGTTCTGCCTCAAGAACTGTCCACCCAATGATCTGGAATGTGCCTTGAGCCCATATGCCTTGGAATATAAACTTATCTCCCTTCCCTTTGGAATAGCTGCCAATCAAGATTTAATCCGACTGGTTGCATACACGCAGGATGGAGTGATACATCCCAGGACAACTTTCCTCATGGTAGATGAGGACCAGACTGTTCCTTTTGCCTTACGGGATGAAAATCTGAAAGGAGTGGTGTACACGACAAGACCACTACGGGAGCCAGAGACCTACCGCATGCGGGTGCGAGCTTTATCCTACAGTGCCAATGGGACCCTTGAGTATCAGACCACATTTATTGTTTATATAGCTGTATCTGCCTATCCATACTAAGCAGCTCTCCTGAGCCTGTTACACATATTTAAGCCACATTAATCATGGAAACAAGTGCGCTCCGCGTTAGTGTCTCAACAGTTGCCGCCTTGGCAGCTTGGAAATGGTGCTATGCTCTCTTTTGTGTGCCTTCTTTGGTACTGCTGAGGTGTTTTTAATCATCCCACTGCAGTCTTATCTTTTTGGAAGGTTCTAGAAGAGTCCTTTCTTATTTCCTTTATTTATTACACTGGAGAAGTGACGTCCCAAAGATAATTCTGAACATCGAACAGGACATAGCAGTGAGGATTTATAGTAGCCGGAATCATTTTCCTGAAAGCAAAAGCCAAGCAGAAACAACTACTTCTAAGTCAAATCAAATTTTTGAGCATTTTGCTATTTTTAATAAAACTAGTTGCTCTGTGTTCTGGGGGGAAACTTAGTATAACATCAAGAGATATTTTTAAATCTTGATACTTTACAATAAGGCTATTCATGTACTCTCATTTTCAATGAAGAAACCTAAATACCACACAATTTAAAGCTATAGCTACTTGAAGGTTTCTTTGAATCCAAGTGGTGCTTACCTTGACTGGAAATCCAAAAAAAAAGGAGATTATTTCTAATGATCTGGTAAAAATCATCAGAACCATTTATAATAATAAGAAAAGAAGTCACTTTGTCCTCAGGCATCTGTCCTTGGTGCAGATATTTGCTCAAATGTTTTAAAGTAACCATACATTAATTGAGCTCCATAACTTTTACATTCCATGTTTTAAATTTTCCTGTCAAGTAAAACAATTTTTCAAATATAGGACAGGTTTGTTTTTGTTTAAATCTTGTATGTTCAAATTAACATGTTAAACGTCAATACACTGTACATGGTACTAACCAACTCTGCCAGCAATTGCCAAGATGTATTCTATTTTTATGAAGTGTACATATATTATCTTTGTGTGCATTTTCTATATAATATCTGGATGGACTCTTTTATAAAGTTATTTTATAAAAAAATGTTGCAGTAAAATCAGCATAAATAAAATGTTCATATTCTTTTTCTTAACTTCTTTGAGAACCTAAAACTGTTCTTTTGTTTACAGCTACAAGTGGTAGTGAAATGCACAGTCACACATATAAATAAGTATATATCACAATAGCCCTTGAGATGGGTGGTATTATTATTCATATCTTATGGAAACATGAACGAAAACAACTAGTGCAACTTCCTTAATACCGCACAGCTAGTTAGTGGCAGTAATGTCATTCTTTCTATCTTCTATGACCCTAAGTGAAATGCTGGCTCTACTATATGACAATTTTCTCATTCATCTTTATAGTTTTCTGGCCAGGTAGAATAGCTCATACTGTGATCTCAGCTCTTTGGGAGACAGAGATTGGGAGAATTGTGCTTCAAGGTTAGCGTTGGCAAAAACTTAGCAAGATCCCCTCTCCCCCTCCACCCCGACACACACACCCAATGTCATCATCAACAACAAAAAAGTAGGCTTGATGATGATGATTCATACTTGTTATCTCAGCTATGTTGGGGTGGTTTTAAGTAGGATAATTGTGGCCCAGGCCAGCTGTCGGCAAAAATATGAGAACCTATCTGAAAAATAACTATAGTCAAAAGACTGAGGACATGTCTCATGTAGTAACAAGCATAATACCCTGAATTCAAAAATAAGTACCATCAAAATTAAAATGAGAGTTTTAAATGTCCTTTAACCTTATCTCAGGGCAATATGTCTCCCACTTGTGACAGGTATTAAACTGTTGAGGGCCAAACTATGGACTATGATTTGAGGACACCTTGGTCAAAGATAGTGAGGCTCTAGCTCACATACAACTGCTGAGGATGTGGCTCATGTGATAGAGTCTGGACAAGCATGTGGTATGAGGCTCCACATTCAACTCCAGTACAACAGACTGGTTTAATTTGTTCAAGCAAAGTTTTTCATCTCAAACTTGTCTTCTAATATATTGTCCTATCTCACTGAAGACTTGTGGAAATGTTCTAGACAGTCAAGTCAAGATAATCTTCACTCTTCATACCTTAAGAAAGATATTATAGGGGCTAGGAATGTGGCTTAGTGGTAGAGTACTTGCCTAGCATGCATGAAGCCCTGGGTTTGATTCATCAGTACCACCTACACAGAGAAAGGCAGAAGTGGTGCTGTGGCTCAATTGGTAGAGTGCCTGCCTTGAGCACAGAGAGGCTCAAAGACAGTGCCTAAGCTCTGAGTTCAAGCCCAGGACCAGCAAAAAAAATCATCTTATGATCCAGTTTTGTAAACAATTTCAACACCAGATTCTGACAAATTGATTTTCTTTCTTCTTTCTAAAATCAGATTATATCAACTTTGCTCATTTCTCTCTCCCACATTCTTCAAGCACAGATGCACAGCGTAGTAACCAGACATGACTACACGTAGTCATTGGGAACACACTTCTAGTTGCTACAATATTTGATTTGGAAATTCCCCCATGGCGCAGAAGATCCAGCCAGAATCTTGACTTTATTTATGTATTTATTTATTTGAAGCTTTAAGAAGTTGTACAAAGGTGTTGCCCTTAAACAAAGCAATCTCTCAACACCCTATCTCTTGATTAATGTCATCCTTTTCAACATTCTCAAGGACTTGTGACAAACTTCCTTTGACACATCACATAATCTCTTCAGTAGGTGAGCAAGTTACGCAATGAATGCTCCCACGAATGAATGCTCTCGGTTAGGATGGCAGAGTAGGCTGATATCCAGTGTAACTGTGAGGAGCAAGCCCACATTTTGGCTGTTGTTACTGCAGTCTCCTGAGCCCACAAATTCTACAAATGCTCCAGATAGGAAGACTATGGCATAAAAAGGAAGGGCTCCAAAGGAAGGAAACTTGAAAGTCAAATGAGAAATTAATAGGTAAGATTTAGATTTAGATGTCATAAGGAATTTGCTTTTAACATGGTTACTTACTCTGATGTTAACATGAAAACAAGTATGATTGACTAGAAGATAGTCAATTTATTTTTTAAGAGCCCGCTGGTAAATATTTAGACACTTCATGCCATAGGGCTGCAATTGCTTCTACTTAACTCTGCTGTTTACCAGAAAAGCTGCTGTCAAGCATAACACAGAAATATACATTCCAATGATATTTTGTTTACAAAATCAGGCTGCACTTGGCTTACAGGGCATAGTTTATTCTACAAGGAGTATAATTCATTTTTCCTTCACAACAGCCCAATCTAAGCCCAGTGTATAGTTAAGAAAGAAGCAATGGCTATCACTACTTGTGTAACAAAATGCTTTCCTCAGTGTGGGCAATCATGCTACATCACTATATAATACATTCTTTACATTAACCTGGCCTGCAGACTTAGCTGCTTCACTAGCAACCACATTGAATTATCATTGATAAATACACACAAGCACATAGAACTCTATGTTGGGTGAGTTAACTGTCTACTTACCATTTTTGCATTTTTAATCGATCTTGATGAGCCAAGTAAACCAGAAATATGATGCTTCCAAGATATAGACCAATCTGTCCAAATAGGTATTTGATAGTTCACTTGTCTTTTTCCCAACTAACCAACTTGTGTATCAAACATAGGTTTGACCCCAACTCCCTCCCAGGTATATCTTATTTTCCAGCCACTTTCTAGTTAAGGGTTCATGTATCTAATAAGTCACTTGGTGTGGCTTTTGAAAATTGCTTTACAAGAAGTAGTCTTAGTGACATGGTAGTCTGATCTTTTGGCCTTTTCCATCTTCCTAAACTTAGAATCTGCCTAGAGATGTGTCAGAAGAGAGGAAGAGAAGGAGGGCATAAGGAAGGCAGGGAGGGTGGAAGGGAGGAAGAGAAGGAGAGCGTAGAAAGGCAGGGAGGGGGCAAGGAAGTTAGTTGTTGAGAAAGAGGGGCTTGTATATGTTGATATTGAACCACTTTATATGGTTGTTTGATACCAATTACCTATTGCTTAAACCACTGTTGGAGTATTTCTATTTATACTTGAGTGCATTCATGCTTATGAAATAACCTTTTCCTCCCCTCATCTTTCTCAACTATATTAATTGTACTACCATGTATCCGCTTACTCCAGATGAAACTCTGGATCAGTAACTTCTCACCAAACATCCCATAATCAGTCCATTAAATTCGACCTCTTCTTATCATGTGCCACCATCCTAAGGAAGACACCATGGTCTCACACAACACTCTCTCAGCTGCTTCCTTTTCTATTCCCACTCTGCTATTCCCCATCTTCTACAAGACTGACTGAGCTTTAGAAACATCCAACAGATCATGTCACTCCACTAACATTCCATTCCACTTCTTCCATAGCCTAAGGGTGTTAGATGATCTGTTCTCCCTTCTGTGTCAAGTTAGACATTTCCTTTTCCTGCCTCCAGATTGTGGGCTACAAGACACATTTTACACTAGCTTTGGCAAGTAGATATGACACTGAAGCTATCTTAAAAGGTCACTCCAGTAGCATTAGGTGACACCGAAAGTCAAAGACCTTGTCATGATGACTTGCTGGTGTGAGACAGTAGTGGGTCTGCAATTGTCCTATGTCCCACTGAATCCTTTCCCTTCTACAACCCCTGGGACCACATAGAGGTCTACCTCTGTCAGAGAATCCCAGACTTTTCTGCATGACAGCTACATCATAGAACTTGGGGATCGAGATAGTGAAATACTGCTATTGGCTCACTTGTTTATCCTTTAGCCCAAATGTGATAGCTTATGGAGATAAATTCTATAAAGAGATAACAGCAATGAAATGAGGCCACAGAATGTGACCTTAATCTGTTGGCATTAGTATCCTTCTAAAAAGTTACAGCTCTCTGCCTCCACCACCACCACCACCACCACCATGGTGTAAGGATACTTCCCGGCCATCTGCAAGACAGCCTCCCTTCCCCCACACCCCCCTCCTCACGAAACCAACCCCTATAAAACCTTGATCTTTAGCTTTCTAGGCTCCAGACCAGTATAAAAAAAATTCCTGTTAAGCCAGGAAGTCTGTGGTATTCTGTTATGGCAGCCCTGCCCAAGCTGACTAATGCAGAGCCCCACATGTGGTTGCCAGCTCATATTGATGTGTTTCAGTTTTCTCCCCAGGATCGTTTTAGTGAAAGTAGAGGGTTCCTTGCGTGTATCTGAAGTCCTGGAGAACTTAGAGAAAGAAAATAAGCGGAAGGCTTCATTCCCTAAAGATCTGAGGGGTAAGGGGGTGGGGGGAGAGGCATGAAGTTGAGAAGTGGCCCATGCAGCCTTCAGAGCCAAGATTTCTAAAACCCTAAGTCAAAACTACAATGGCCAGTAAACTCCCAATCTCCTGGGAGAGCTTTGATATTAACACTGGGGCATGGATGAAAAGAAGACGTAACCTGAATGTTTGCGGTTGAGACATTTGGACAAGTTCATTGGAAGCTGGAAATGTTGAACTCAAAATCTGACATCTCCATATAGACAAGAGGGGCATGTTTTCCTCTCTGTCCCATGAGATTGCCTTGATCACCTGCAGGGACCTCTTCCAAAGTCTCCTGAAAGAGACTAAGGGCCCCTCACCACCCATCCCCATCACCCCTCCTTGCTTCTGGACCCAAAACCACAGATACCTAGGGGGGAAAGAAGGGAAGAAAAGCACTAAAAAATTTAAATAATTCTTTTACTTTATCTTTTTCACTGAGTATTACTTGTACTTTAGGTAGTAAGCATTTTTAAATTTTACATTTAAAAATTGTCAAGGTGATGGACAGAGGAGTTACAGTCACTAAGGAAGGTATTGAGTACATTTCTTGTGGAATAGTATTAACCCCTCCTTTGTTTTCTCCCATTTCCCCCCTCCCACGCCAACTCCCTCCACCAAGCTGTAACGTTTATTTCCTACGTAGTATCTTGTGAGTGTCATTGTTGCATTGCTTCACCCTTTGTTCTTTGTCTCCAAGACATGGACACAAGAGGTTTTTCTTTGTTGTTGTTCTCATGTACTACATGGTTTCTTTTTTCTTTTGTGTTCCCCCCACCCCCATGGT